CGTGCGTGCGTGCGTGCGTGCGTGCGTGCGTGCGTGCGTGCGTGCGTGTGTGTGCGTGTTTGTGGATGCGTGTGCATGCGTGCATGCGTGTGCGTGTTTGTGGATGCATACATGTGTTTGTGGATGCATACATGTGTTTGTGGATGCATGTGTGTGTGTGTGTGTGTGAGAGAGAGAGAGAGAGAGAGAGAGAGAGAGAGCGAGAGAGAGGACCAAGGAAATGGAAAGAGAGTATCTGATTTAGATGGTAGAATTTTGTGTGGTTTCCTTCGAGCATGAAGACGGGTTGTCAAATGCAGCGCTCATTTTCATGTGCATTAGCAATATTACATATAAATGCAAAGATGTGGAATTGTGAGGGGAAAGTCTTATTCAGTCTGTAGACAAATTAAAGCCTTTTAAAGTATCTATCCCAGAATCTCTTTAAAAAAATGTATGAAGTTAAATTTTCTTCACAGTATGGGGTTATGTCAACTGTGAATTTCCCTACATGAAATATCTTTAATTTGACGGTGTCACTTCTTTCGTGGTCACGTTGAACTAAAGTTTCCTTGGTATATCATGTAATCTTTAGCTGATGAGCATGTGTGGACATTGCTTCTACTCAGCAGAACTATTACGGTGCTTATCGTTATAAACTATCGCTAGTAGTACCAGCTGCAGCTGCTTATAAATTGCCTCTGATCTAAAGCTGTAAATCGATGAGAGGCATCAATGATTGAAGGATTTGCCTCGATGAGTGGAATGTTTATGTTAGCGCTCTGCCAGAACTGACACGCAAAGCGTGCCACAACTTTAAAAAAAGTTTACTCTCGGAACCGGGGCTGGCAGTGAACGCTTTATTAGGACGTGGAGAGAAAAGTCTGATTCCATCAAGTCTATTTCTTGTTCTGTCTAGTCGTAGCCCTAGCCTTTAGTCCTAGTCTTGTCTGTCGTTGTTGTATGGATTCTTTGCTGCACAGAATAAACGTATGCTAGCTGCAATCTCGACTTGCTAGTTCGCATACCCGATGCTTGGTGGACCCCCAGTGACCACATGATACCCACAGTACATGTACCCACAGATTGCACATTGCCTCGTACTGCAGTTACTATTTATCTGTTTTGTTTACTGCAGCATCTAGCGGCGTATCACTAACGTCCATCTGTCGGTTACAGAAATGGCGATGCGTAATGTCTGTTGGATCAGCTAAGAATATATGGTGAAGCCCAGCTGTATAGTTAGTAACGGCGTGTGTACATCCGGCACTGAACGCGATGCCACGACTGTCAGAATGAGGATTGAATATAATCTCGTGGCTAGGGAATCGTGTACGGAAAGACAAATAAACGACTTTGCGCACTGTCTGTGCGCGAATGTGCTGGAGCGCAGATCTTTCCTCTGACATGGTGTTTGCCGAGCTTAGGCAGTTTATCGGCACTTTAATAGCATTAGTGAAGCGAACGGTTGATCGATGAAGTCTGCTTGTTTTTAGCTGTAAAGAATATGTCAGTGTTGCGACTTAGCTGAACGAATGAGGATATATAGTGTGTACAGCTGTATGGCATCTTGATATATCATGTGCATAAGTGAAGTGTACAATTTTAAGGCATCATGAGCTATCGTGCGCGTGAGCAACTGTCTTGATATATGATGCGTGTAAGAGCAAGTGAGGGCTTCCAGACTTAGGGAGCCACGGCTATAGGGATCGACTTGTTTTAAACTGTAGGACCTGATCTCGTGTAATCTGTGCAAATTTAAGCTCTTTTGTTACGTGTTGCCGGGGGAACGTAAGCCTCACTTGATATCGTGCAGCCTGGGTAGAATTAGTTTGAAAATATACAGGCCAGCCGGGCCTGTAGGTAAGGGGGTTTACAGGCCCACTGTGCAAATTTTATAGGCCGTGGACGGTTTTGCATGCTGGGGTGGATTTTCTAGGGGTCCATCGGGCTTGTTAGTATTAGAAATGTCAGGCTCGAGCCTTAAAATACGGGCATCGGGCCCGCGGGCCCCTTAGGATTTCAACCAGTGGAAAAAATACACAGGGGCTCGGGGCGATTTAGCCCCCGAAATGCCAAAAAGAGCCCCGGAAATGCCAAAAAGAGCCCCCGTAAATTTGCATAGAGTTCAATGCAAACCAAATTTTAGAGTGCTATTTTCATGCACGCGAGCTTGAAAAGTAGCCCCCGAAAAATAAATTTTTATTTTATCCCTGATTTCAACCCATGTCGTGCATGACGCGTCGTGTAGATGTCGAGATGGGTGGCTTCGCCTCTCTCGTGCGTTGAGGTAGCTAGGATGATGAATGACTACTAGAGAGTCTGAGTCATCGTAGCGGATTGTACGTCGCGCGTGACGAAGCCATCTTGCTCTCTCTTGCAGCCGCGTCCGACTCCTCGTCCCCGACGTCGCCCGTCGGTAACGAATGCGAGGCAAGCTCCGAGGACGCCAACAACGCCAGCATGGAGGCTACCGGTAACGGCGTAGATGGCGCCACCGCTGTCGGTGCAGAAGGCATCACCGAGGAGATGCTGCAGCACTCGGACGTCGTTGTGATACAGGATACGGGTTTCATGGTCGAGGTGGCCGCCCCCGGCCTCGAGCCGTTCGAACTTCAGGTGAGAAACCGCTCTGTGGGTTCATTTACGCGGCTTTGATTTACATTCCACATTACATCATGCTGTTACGTCGGTCGAGGCCTAGCTGTAGATAACCCCACACGTGTGCTGGCCTACAGTACATCTACATAAAAAGTGCTGTTAGGAAAATTTTTTATAAAAAGTGAGTGAGTGGCCTTGATACAGGGTGCCTTAGCGAGTGAAATGTACGATTTGGTGCCCATCCAATTTGCCACGGTGTCCTGAAATTTCTGGTTAGACCTTTACAATTGCCTTGCTTTAAATGATTTTCAATTCGACACTAGGTAAAAAAAACTGCATGTGCTGCTGCTAAGATTGGAACGGCAACGTGAAAAGTTACTGCTTTGTAACGTGTGTTCGATCGTGCTTTTCCGAAACGGTAATTGTGCGCAGATTAGTTGTTTCTAAAGGTATTCACTGGTGCTGTAATCCAAGTGCTGCCGTATAGATTACGAAAATGAAAAATGGCAGTTGTTGCTCGTGTTGTAAATTTTGACAGGCGCTTGACGTGTTGGCACGTGTTGCTTTTGTTGCGGTGGTAATCCATATAACAATTAGCCAGCATGGAAGATTGATCTCAATAGCTTGATTACGTAGAAGTTCGTAATTGACAGAGCCGTAAGCTTCATGAAGCTGGCGCGAGCGATTCGCCGGGGTAGATTGGAAATCGTGTTTCTTCCCCGTGATTGACAGGTAGTAGTAGTAGTGGCGTCAACATCACACCTCCACAACCCCACTGGCAATCCAGTTGCACAAAAGACTCTGCCTCATTGACAGCTTGATTACGCGGCGGTTCGTGAGTAACGGAGCCGTAAGTTTAATGACGCCGGCTGAAGCGATTCGCCGGTGTAGATTTACGATCGCATTCTGCGTGATTGACAGGTGAGTTCGATGGAGCTGGTGCAGGAGATCCACCAGGTGCTGATGGACAGGGAGGACACGTGTCATCGCACCTGCTTCTCACTACAGCTAGACGGAGTCACGCTAGACAACTTTGCCGAGCTGAAGAGCGTCGAGGGCCTGCAGGAGGGCTCCGTCATCAAGGTCATCGAAGGTAACCTTCAGATGTGTCACCAAGGTCGTTGCTGGTGATCTCCTGTTGTATGTTACCAAGGTCGTCGGTGGTAACCTTCAGATGTGTCACCAAGGTCGTTGCTGGTGATCTCCTGTTGTATGTTACCAAAGTCGTCGGTGGTAACCTTTAGCTGTAAATTATCAAATTTGTCGATGGTAACGTCTAGCTGTAATTATTAAAAGGCCGTAGAAGGCAATCTCTTGCTGTAAATTATCAAGGTCGTCAAAGGTAACCTCTAGCTGTACATGTGTTTGTACCGAACGTCTGTGCTGTGTACATGTTTCACTTCTGCTTGCATTGTATCCGGAATTTATCTATACTAGCTGCTAAATATCCTCATTGCTGTCAGTCCGTATGAGTGCTGGCGTGCGTTGCTGTCTCGTGCTGATTGTGTCTGCGTTCTATCCTGCAGAACCGTACACGGCGAGGGAGGCACGCATTCACGTGAGACACGTGCGAGATTTGCTCAAGTCGCTCGACCCGGCCGACGCCTACAACGGCCAGGAGGGAATGTCGCTGTGCTTCCTCAACACCGTCACCAACGGCGACATCCTCGGTGAGCGTGCCGGCGGCGGCGGCTGCAGTTCGCGCGCGAACCTATCACAGTTTCCCGAATCGGTTATTTTGAGGTTTTAATCGTGAGTGCGAGTGCGGTCAGACATGTTTGTGAAGGTCATTCGAGGGAAATAAAAAGAGCGTCCTTGGTAGATGTGGGGCACGTTTTATAGAACTGGTTTTAACGGTTTAACTGCCGTTAACTTGAGGGAAAATGTCGAAAGTGTCCTTTATATTCTGATGGTTTATTTTATAGAGATAGTTTTACTGTATAACTGCCACTCAGGGGAATTCTCAAAAGTGACAATTATGGACACTTGTTCGTTCTATATAGATGTGTTGACTAACACATGGTTGACTGTATTTGAGTATACTCTCCGGTACTGAGCTACAGGTGGGTGGGGGGATTGTTTTACTTATTTACACCCTATGACCCTTGATGCTAAGTCGGTCTATTGTGGACAGAAGGCTTTATCTGTGGGTTGCTCAGTGTTCCTTGGCAGTGGTACAGTATTATATGTGTAATGTTGTGTACGTTTATTCCGTAAAATATGATTGCACACTCACAAAAAACAGCAAAGCTGTCACACGGAATCGATAATATCGTCGTGAAAAGGAACGAAATCTAAGAGCAATCAGACAGTGCGTGAAAAGATGAATTGTTGAAGGTGCCTTTCTCCCGCGATCCACAGAGAAGAAGAAGGTGCGACCGGAGTCTGTAGACTGTACGCCGCCGGATTACATCATCCCCGACAGCAAGGAGCGACCGCTCACCCCGCTACACCCAATCTGTAAGGACACAAAGGTACTAGGGTCTGTCTCATCGACGCAATAACCGATAACGTTCCTCCCCACCCACTCTGTAATCCCGCAAAGTTATTATTAGAAGCTGTCCCGTCTTATTCACCGCTAATTTTCTACTGCATTCAAACGTGCAAGTACAGGAGAGTACTACACAGTCTATCGCATCTGCTAATAGTGTTTCATTGCGTCTAGTTTGCGGTCGTCGCTCGAAGGCACCGCGGCGCACCTCCCGCTGTCTCTGCGCGTTTAGCGGTGATATTCGTAGGTGCTGAGGAGCGTCGTGTTCGTACACGGTGATGTAACATGTCTTGTTGCTTTGCAGGTGTCGCCTTGCTTGAAAGTGCTCACCCTCAGTGGGTGGAATCCACCCCCGGGGCCGCGGAAAATGCACGGTGAGTCATCCTCGCGCGTAAATCTAAGTGTCTAGGCGGAACCGACGATGTAATCGGCTGTGTTTTTAATTTAAATTAAAAAATTATTTAATTATCTGAATTAATTGTAAATTCAAAGCGCAGGCATCTATGGTTCTATGCCGTGTACTCGTAGAGCAATTGATCAATTACACTGATGGATTACACTGATCAATTACACTGATCAATTACACTGATGGATTACACTGATCAATTACATTGATGGATTTAAGTGGATCAGCGCTTTTACTCTTGCTGTGTCCTCGTACAGTCATTATGATTTCTTATTTGTAATGACAGATTGCTGCATTCGTGCTTATACTATTACAGATATTTAATTGTATTTAATTGGTGGGTTTGGTTGTCGTATAGGAGACCTGATGTACTTGTATGTGATAACCATGGAGGACAAGCGATACCATCTCACTGCCTCAACAAAGGGGTTCTATGTCAACCAGTGAGTCTCCTCGTGTTTATCTCTTGTTGCTACATTCTGTTTATCGTTTATCGCAAACAAGTTCCATTTGTTCCTGCCTACTGGGAAATGTTTTTGAATGCGTTAATAGTTCTCCTCTGTATTTTGCATTTGTGAGTTACTGTCTCCCAATCATGACAATCCATGTTCTGCTTTTGCCTTGTCTCCCATGCAATAGCAACATTCTTTTTTGTTCTGTTTGTCTTTGTAATGTTGACTGCTGTGTTAATTAGCTTCAGGCTACTCTTATCACTCTTATCCTATTGATTTGATTTTCCCGTAATTTCCGCACGGCTCACTCGCAGCATCTGTCGTTTGTCTCTAGCTCGTCGTTTGTCGCAATTACCGTGTTTGATTCTGTCATCATGCCCCGACTGTTTACGTGTGAACTGCGACACAATACCTACTCACTTAATCTGCGTTGTTGTTGATGATGTACGGCCGATATTTTGTCGGGAAAACGTCTGTTAAGTGTATAGTGTATGTAAATTGAGCGATATTCATCTATATACGGTGTGTGCTCCTTCATTTCTGTTAAATTGTTTATTCGTGCCAAGTGTCTGTTTAATAAATGATATTATTATTATAATGTATATATATATATATATATATATATTATATATATAAATTATTAACCGGCATTTTTATGGCAACCAGTTTTGCTCTGAAATGTATTTAGGCAAAGTTTCATGAAATGTCAAAAAGTGTGGAATAGTTTCTTTCGATCTCGGAGAGTTCAGTTTTTACGCATTTAGTACGATGTTTACTGCATTACGTAGCGTAGTTCGGGTCTGCGCGCACACTGTGCAGTACATATTACGGAACGTAGCATGAACTAGTTTTGAGGTTACCGTAGGAAGCGTTATTACATTATGATTTCGTAACGAACTTGGCGATGTATTTTCGCAGGTCGACTGAGGAGGGTTTCAACCCCAAAGCCGCCCAGCCGAAGCACCTGTCACATTCGCTCATCGATCTCATGAGTCAGGTGAGAGAGCAAATCCTATTGCTATCTCTCCCCCTCCCCCCTTCGCCCGTCTCACACACATCTCAACTGAGGGGTTTCTATCTACGGTTTCTCTCGAGCGAAAAAAAAGTTGGAGTGTTTTCTCTCTCTCTCTCTGAGGCAGAGAGACAGGAAGAGGGAGAGGGAGAGGGAGAGGAGAGGGAGAAGAAGAGGGAGAGGAGAGGGAGAGGGAGAGGGAGAGGGAGAGTTGAGAGGGAGAGGAAGAGATAGAGGTGATGAGGAGACAGAGAGAGAGAAGGAGAGTGAGAAATGAGAGAGCATGACATAACGGGGGCGGCATAGGCAGCGGCGTCAACCGGCCATACTCGCTCTGTAGTGATCTCTTGAGACGCGAAGCCAAGGCTGAAGAAGATGTTGTTCCAGATGAACAGCTGCATCCTGCGAACAACAGAACAAAGTTGTAGTTCAGGAACGTGCATTATGAAACCTCACAGATGTAACCAAATCAGCTTTTGTTCGCCCTTTCTCTCCAACTCCTTCCCCTCCAACCTCTCCTCCCCTCACTCACAGTCACTCTCCCCCCTACCTACTTTTCCCACTCATTAGCCT